TTTTGAGTGACGGAACTTAATTTTGAGTGAGGGTTTTTGGTACCTTATTTGCCAAGGAATCATTCATCAACGACTTGAATAGTTTTCCTTTTGCTAGGATTTGTTTGGTAGCAATAATGGAAGGTGGAAATAATGAACATTCTAAGTCTAATGTTCTTAGTTATAGATGAACTATTTTAGATTTTTTTAAATTGTTATCTTTCTTGCCATACCAAGTCTAAGCCGTAGTCAATTAGTGCATTTTAATAAAATGATTACTTTGGTTCATATGCCAACTCCAATGAAACTTTAGACGTGCTTAAATATTTCATCTTTGTTCTAGATTTCATTGTTTGATTGAGATGTAGCATCTGGTTATTTCAGTTAAAGCTCAGCTAATTGAATGTATACGTACTGGATTGCTTTTTGACTTAGCATCATTGATTGGATTTTACTAATTGCAATCAACTTCTACTCTTGACAAGTACCTTTGTTTTTTTAGTTAATCTTGCAACCTCAATTGCTGAAAAGGTTATATAATAGGAGATAAGTGAAGGAGAAGGAAATTAGTGATTGCCGAGTTGGAAATTTTCCTTTAATCTTTGGTGATGGTTAAAAACGAAAGAGTTCGCAAGGCCTTTAATGCTACAAGAGCTTTAAGCCTTCCTGATGAAGAGGTGAAATTGGTGCTTAAACGGCTCCTGAAATTGTTTGATTACAACTGGGAACCAATCGAGGCAGAAGACTACAGGGCACTTATCGATGCATATTTCGAGCTCAAGGAAGATAAAGTATTTTACGTGTTTTTTTCCCCCTTTTTTTTGGTGCAATGTTCTATTCCATTACTTAGCTGTTTATACATTTTGTGGTCATAACATACTTTTCCTGCTTCGTTGGTCAAGCAGTGACATGATAGACGACAATGTTGGTTTTCTAACCGTTAAACGTTTTTAAGGGTAAAGATGACAGGGAAAATGCCGTTGTGGAGCATGGTGAGTCTAGCCGATTACCTAAACAGCTACGCTTGCAAGATCCGGAAGATCAGGCTGTTGAGTCTAGCAGATTGCCTAAACGTTTATGCTTGCAAGATCCGGAAGATCAGGCTTCATCTACAAAGAGCAGTGCGGGCCAAGTTCTATGTCCTAAAGAGAACAAAAAGCCTATTTTAAGCCTTCATCAAGGGGTTACTTTTTCTAACAATAAAGATTCCAGTTCTTCTGGTTGTTCGAATTCATGTAAAAAAATTCAGCAGCAACCTGTTATTTGTGAGAAGAAAAGTTCCTTTCAAATCATTTCAGACGTAACTAAGGGCACGGAAAATGTGAAAATTTCATTGGTAGATGCAACTGGCAAGAACGAACTGCCAAAGTTTACGTACATGCGAGATAACGTAATATATCAAGATGGTTATGTGCATATCTCATTGGCTCGGATCGCAGATGAGGATTGCTGTTCAGGCTGTTCAGGAGACTGTCTTTCAGTACCGATACCATGTGCCTGTGCTCAGGAAACTAGTGGGGAGTTTGCTTACACAGCAGAGGGTCAACTAAGAGAAGGATTTCTAAATGCCTGTATGTCCATGAAACTGGAGCCTAAAGAGCACCACTTTGTTTATTGTCTGGATTGTCCTTTAGAGAGGTCGAAGAATGACTATAAGCCTGAAAAATGCAAGGGTCACTTGGTCAGGAAATTCATTAAAGAATGCTGGAGAAAAGTGGATGTAACATGCAGTGCGGAAATCGGGTTGTACAGAGAGGTATTACATGCAAGTTGCAGGTAAAATTCAGCAGGCTCCTGTTATAGTTTGTTAAACAGCAATTTGCTTCTTCCCTAAATGGAAATGTTTTCATTATGCATTCATTTGTTATTTATGTTTCATATGTTGAAATGCAACTTCACAAAAATGGCTTCAATTTAGCTTTTAGAGGCTGCCCTTCATACATGCCATTAATGTCTTTCATTGGCCTCAAGTAATGGTGCATTAGTGTTGACACTGAAAAGCTATTCCCTGATTTGCACTTTAGGTGTTCTGGACTCGCGAAGGAAAAGGTTGGGGTGTTAAGACACTCCGGGACTTGCCAAAAGGAACCTTTATTTGTGAATATGTTGGGGAGATCTTGACCAACACCGAGTTGTACGAACGGAACTCTAAAGGTAGTGGCAATGAGAGACATACATATCCTGTTACACTCGATGCGGACTGGGGATCAGAGAAAATTTTAAAGGATGAAGAAGCACTTTGTCTGGATGCTACCTTATGCGGTAACGTTGCCAGGTTTATTAATCATAGGTAATTCTTTTTACCTGAAATAAAATATACGTTCTTAAGCATTATGGCAATCTTGGCCTTGTTTCATTTCTTCTTGTACGTCAGAAGAAGAAAAAAATATGATCAAAGACTCTGGGAAAAAACATGTTTAGTAAATTAGTGTGAACATGGCATTATTGTTCGGATCGGTTACATTATTATTATGTAGCAATGATCTTGCAGGTTGCTATGTGAGAAACATATCCAAAAGACCTAAAAATGTTCTTTATTACATAGCTGGTGTTAGGGTATGTTAAATCGATATCGTCCTCGAAAATTGAATTTTTTTGGCTTCAAATAATACACTATTGCTTTGTTGTTGCTTCATGCTCTTTCTTCTCTCTGCTCGGTCCTTGAACATGAGACATGAGATTCCGGGCTCGTTGAACCAAGCCAAGCAAACCACCAGACCAAGAATGATATATTGCTGTAAATTAAACATATGTTTAAATTATCCTGAAACACCAATGTTTAATGTTGCACCTTCGTGTACAACTTTCTAACATTTTGCAGGATGTCGGGGTTCCTTTTTATATGTCTTTTATTTTTTATCTTATTCTTAACAGTGTAGTAAATCACTGCCAACAGTCCGGTTTGATGTTTAACATTTAACATTTCAGATGCTTTGATGCAAACTTGATTGACATTCCAGTTGAAGTGGAGACCCCTGATCGCCATTATTATCATGTATGAATCAAAGCAGTAACAAATTTTCTGTCAAGGCTATAATAAAAAAACAGAGGATTGTTGTTTACCTGCATTTGAAGTGCCGAGTTATTTATATATTTTCTTTGTGTTTCTATGAACAGCTTGCCCTTTTTACTACTAGAGAGGTTAGAGCTTCAGAAGAGCTAACTTGGGTAAGTTGAAGTCTATCTTAGCTCGGCTCTTTCATTTTCCGAACGTGTCTGTGTCATATACATATTTAGACACTAGAATAAGGATAAGATATTTCAAAGACCCTCCAAATGCATTTGCAGGATATGTTCCCTACTAATGCATGGAAAAGTTCAGAAAAGAAGAAGAAGAATATACCTGTAGTGAATACACATATAAACATCTTATACTCGTTAGGAGTTTAGAACTTTGATGAATATATGTTTATTTCCTTTTTGTTAAGCATTTACATAAATGTTGGATGGCATTTCAGACTCTCCAAATGCATTAAAGTCTTTATTTTGCTTTAAAGTATCATGCCTGATACTCACGTCAGTCATATGATTGATGTCATATATGGATACGGATATTGAAATACGATTGATCTAATGCATGAAAATGTTTAGAAAGAAAAAACTGAATATATTCATTGAATACATGCAAGCATCTCATAATCACACCCAAATTCGAGCCATGTAACTTGATTATAAATTTAGAACTTTGATGAAGATATATTTATTTTCTTTTTCTTTATTATTAATTATTGACATAAATGCAGGATTATGGTATAGACTTTAATGATCATGAGCACCCAATTAAGGCATTCAAATGTAGCTGTGGAAGTAAGTTTTGTCGAGACCGAAACGTTCGGGTTAGACTGTAAGTTTTCTGTCCATCAAATCATACTCATGGATTTTACACGAGAATCTGTCTTCAATGGCAAATTACAGCTATTGGGTTGTGTGTTTCAAATGGTATACACAGTTTGTTAAGACCAAGAAAGATTGTTTCTAAAATTTCATCTCAAACTTGAGGCATTTTACCTTTCCATTGTTAAATATCATTTGGAATTAGAGATTGTTAAATGTTTATATGAAAAATCACTCTTTAATTGAATTTAGGTATGATTGTTTATAATCTTACATTTATAACATGCAAGAATAATGGAAAGTCACCCTGAAATTTTAAAAGTTTTAATCGAGTTGTCAGACTATTGAACATTGTTTTATTTCTCATTTTGTTAACTTTTTCATTAGATATCAATTGATGATGGTACTTGTCACTAGTTGGGTCGACATGTGATGCGTGATTATATGTCTGTATGCTATTTTATTATTCTTTTTTCATAAGTAAATACAAGTAAAAATAAATAATAATTTATGTTACAAGTAAAATAGTTTTTAAATTAAAATATTTAATTTATCTCATTTATAATTTATATTTCAATAATATGGTTGTCCTTTGTTCTCATATGTAATGAGGTAAGGGGAGGTAAGATAGTAGGCTGCCCTCAACACTAGGTTGAGAGCAGCTTCCGTATGAGACCTCCAAATTATGAAATTCCCTCCATGGGACTCGATCCCACGACGTCAAGATTAAGAACCTTGTGCTCTACCAACTGAGTTGAATGATCATTTTTATTCCAATAATATATTTTCTTTAATCCCACTTTTGACAAAATTTTCTTATCTGAAAATAAAAACAATTACATTTTATTGGTTTAAAAATATATAAAAGATTTAATTAGTATACTTTTTATCCTATTTAAATTGTCGTATTTGCACCTAAAACAATTTCAATTTGAACAAAATTAAACTCGCCAAAATGATCAGAAGTGAAAGCAAGAGGATGGCAAAAATTAAGTGAAAACTGTTAATTGTCGGCAGAATCTTTTTTCAAATTGCTTACGAACCAAAGGAATAAAAAAAACAAAGTCTGTCGTGCGATTTGAAATAATTAATACAAGTTGTTCAAAAATGACTAAATAATTAATAAAAGTTCCAAGGTATATATATATGCATCAGTGTAGTTGTCTTCTTCACAAGCTTTTATCTGAGGGAATCATGGCGGAAATGGAAACTTCACCGAGAAAAGAAGAAGTTGACGATGTAGCTAAAGCGGTAAAGGCCTTGGAGGACACAAAAGCCGGCATCCAAGGGCTCGTCGACACCGGCATAGTTAAACTTCCTCCATTCTTTTTCATGTCACCGGATGTTCTCAACGATCATCCAACGTTGAAGGATCCATATTTACATAGTGATTTCCAGGTTCCCGTCATAGATCTAAAAGATGTCTTAGATCCTGTTCAGCACAAAGAAATCGTGGAAAAGATGAGATCAGCGTCGGAGGAATGGGGATTCTTCCAAGTGATTAACCATGGAATCCCACAACATGTGTTGAAGGAAGCCGTCGACGGTGTCAGGAGATTCCACGAACAGCCCAGGAAGGTGAAGACGACATATTACGGTCGGACCGGCGTGGTTAGGTATTACACTAACTATGCGCTTAAGTCTAAAGGTGTGAGCTGGATAGACACTTTGGCTTGTGTGATGGCTCCGAATCCCACGCCGGAGAAGTATCCCTCCGCTTGCAGGTAAACACATGAGAAAAAGTTCGTTTTGATTAAAATACTTTTACACATAATTCATGAGAAAAAGTTGAGTTTGTTGGTAGCGAGCGGTTCAAATTTTGTTCATTTATACAGAAAATTAAGGTCGATGAGGGGTGATTGTTAAGATGTTCTATTTTAGTCGAATTGAGAGATGTTTATAATGATCTTTAACATGTTAGTTATAAGGTTTTTATATTTACTAATAATCTATTGTGCTTAATAGTAAAACTTCGTTATAATGAATCTCTCAAAATTTTATTTAAGTATTGTATTTGATTCACAAGTATTAACAGTTTTTAGTGTATTCAACTTGACGGAGGTTAAGAGATTTCCAGTGACCAATGTGTGGGTATAACACACATGACTTTGTGGTAGTAATTTTACATATCAACATGAAATATGTAGGGATATATTCATGGAGTATTCAAAGCATGTTGAAAGCTTAGGGGAAGTTATTTTGGGGTTGCTGTCGGAGGCCCTGTGTTTGGACCCCGAGCACCTCAAAGACATAGGGTGCTCGGAAGGGTACGCCTTTCATTGTCAATATTATCCGGCTTGCCCCGAACCCGACCGGACCTTAGGAGTGATGCGACACCGTGATCCCGACTTCTTCACCATCCTTGTACAAAATGAAATCCAAGGGCTTCAAGTTCTTCATCGAGATCACTGGATTGATATCTCTCCCATGAAAGGAGCCGTCATAGTTAATATCGGCGATCTCTTACAGGTAACAGAAAAAACCCTCACCTGCATGCGTCTTCCAAATGTATTGTTCTAATGATTTGAAATGCAGCTCATCTCCAATGACAAGTTCAAAAGCGTGGATCACAGAGTTTTGGCGACAAGTGCAGGACCCAGAGTATCATTGGCATGCTTGTTCACCACAGATTTACAGCCATCGGACAAGGTTTATGCACCCATAGAACAATTGTTATCCCCACATAATCCGCCTTTATACAAGGGAACCACCATTCCCAATTATCTCAAAACTTACGTCTCCAAACCAGGCAATGGACTCTCTCTTCTCAAGTTGTGATTCTGCTATCATGGACCGGATTAACCCACTCCTGTTTTATAAATAAAAATGTTAAGCACACATCTCTAGTATGTATGTTTATTATTAATCGCCCTCTACAAAAAGTTTATATCCCAAACTAAAAGGGTAAACCGTCCACAGCCTTTCATATCCCAATTTAACTATCAACAAGAGTTATCACTAAAATTAGGTGAAAACTGATTAAACTAGGAATTATCTGCAGAATATTTTGCAAATTGCATACGAACCAAAGAAATCAAATTAATATCTTATGTCCCATTCATACAAGTTGTTCTAATGACTTGATGACGAAAATACAATTATTTTTTTATGATGAACCGACCTAAATAATACAAGTTGTTTAGAAGAAGACAATTTGCCGTTTAAAAGAGGACACGGATTTCTATAAATTATAAAGAAATATTACTCTAACTTTTGTATTTTTTCATAATCAATACTCAATAATGCAGCGTTAAACCACTTGTGATATTCGTTGATCTGTTATTGTTTGATGACTCATTCCATTGATAAATTAAGTTATCCTCTTGTATCCACTAATAAATTTTAGCTGAGCAAAGTTTCTTTTAGTTATTCAGTAAGTTTTTCATGGCGGAAATGGAAACAGGCAACGATCACCAGAAAACTTTACCGATAAATGAAGACCGAGTTTACGACAGAGCAAAAGCGGTGAAGGAATTCGACGGCACAAAAGCCGGCGTTCAAGGGCTCGTCGACGCTGGCATTGATAAACTCCCTCCGTTCTTTTACATGTCGCCTGAGTATCTCCATGATCATCCAAAGTTGACGGATCCTTATTTACATAGTGATTTTCAGGTTCCCATCATTGATCTAAAAGATGTTTTAGATCCTGCCGAGCACAAAGAAATGGTGGAAAAGATGAGAAGAGAGTCGGAGGAATGGGGATTCTTCAAATTGATTAACCATGGAATCCCACAACAGGTGTTGAAGGAGGTCCTCGACGGTGTTCGGAGATTCCACGAACAACCCAGGGAGGTGAAGATGAAATATTACTCCCGAGAGACTGACATCGTCCGGTATTACACTAACTATGATTTGCATCAGTCGAGAGGTGCGAGCTGGAGAGACACTCTGATTTGTGTGATGGCTCCCGATACTCCGCCGCCGGAGAAATATCCATTTGCTTGCCGGTAAACACATACATACACATGGTATTGTGATAGTATATATTAGTATTTTACACGTGAACTTGAAATGCAGGGATATTCTGTTGGAGTACTCAAAGCATGTTCAAAGCTTAGGGGAAGTTATTTTTGGGTTGCTGTCGGAAGCCCTGGGTTTGGACCCCGACCACCTCAAAGATATAGGGTGCTCGGAAGGACATACCTTTGGTTGTCAATATTATCCGGCTTGCCCTGAACCCGACCGAACCTTAGGACATGTCCCACACCATGATCCCGATTTCCTCACTATCCTTTTACAAGATCAAATCGGAGGGCTTCAAGTTCTTCATAAACATCACTGGATCGACGTCTCCTATGGAAGGAGCTCTCATAGTTAATATCGGCGACCTCTTACAGGTATGGAAAAACACCCGTTTTTTAAATAGTTTGAGCTTATTACAATTTATTTAGATTTTTTCTTGATTAAAGAGAATAATATTTTGTTTAACTAATAGAATTAAAGTGTATTGGACTGCAGCTAATCTCAAATGACAAGTTGAAAAGCGTTGAGCACAGAGTTTTGGCGAAGAGTGTAGGGCCGAGAATATCACTGGCATGCTTATTCACAACACATTTACAACCATCAAACAAGGTTTATGGCCCTTTGAAACAATTGTTATCCCCAAATAATCCACCATTGTACAAGGAAACCTCCATATTGAATTATCTCAAATCTTATACCTCTGTGGGTGGACTAGGCAATGCACTTTCCTTTTTCAAGTTGTAATTTTGTAATCATCCACTCTTTAGGCTGTAAATCAATCCAACTTTAACCAATAAAGCTGTCTTCATTTTAGTTTGTTTAGTTTTTAAGGTATTCATTTTCGATTAAATTTTTAGTATCATATTTGTGTTTATTTATTTTTTTAAGATGGTTGTGTTCGTTCTTTAGCTTTCTCGTAAGCATGTTCGTTAACATTAGCAAACATGCTTATTTAATGTTCGGCAACCATCGCAATCTTTTACCATTTATTTTGCAAGCCAAGGAAAAATGGTAAAATTACTCTAGTAGTCATTAATTTCCTTAGGCTTCACAATTTAAACTCTAAAGTTATCTTATGTTCAATTTAGTTCTTACCTTCACCAATATTTAAAATATAAAAGGAAAAATAGAATCGAATAAACGATATTATAAACAAGTAGATAAATGAGCTTATAAACGAGCTTGCTCGTGACACACCTCTATTCATGCCCGTTCATTTATTAAATGAACATACAAATTTTATTCATACCCGTTTATTTAGTTTAATAAACTAACAATTCATAGAATGCTATGTTGATTTATACTCTTACCTATTTTACTTTAATGAATAAAGGGGCCACTGGTTTCAAGTATGGTTTATGTTTCTTATTTATGGTTAGTAGCAACCAGCTAGAGGCTTTATGAATAAATGCTTGTGTAGAAGCATCATGCAATAAAACATAATGAAACATATAGTTATTAAAATAAATAATGGGCAGAATAGAATTACAAAACCTTACTTCCATCATGAAGAAGCATGTATACTTTGACTCATAATGAAGCATGAAGAAGCAATTTATCTTGTCAAACTACACTATCCGGTGAGAATTTTCAAGTGCTTAGGAAACTTTGGTTCTTTTTAGCATTTTATAAATAAAATTTAATGTGCTTGACCATCGTTCGACGCGTTTGATAGTGGTTTTACATATTCGTTAATGGTATAACTACGTCTTATTTCTTGAAATTCGATTTTGATCATAACCGATAGTATTCATATTTGATCTTTTTTACTGCGTTTATGATTATTTATGCTTACGTTTAGTATCAGACAATTTTTAAACGATTGAATACTTCACTTCGAACTTTGCTAGCGAGGCTATATCATGGAAGAGTGTCAAAGCATACCTTAATTGTTATTTCTACTATAGATATTGAGTTCGTTTAATGTTTTGAGACTATCTCACATGAAGTGTTGTTGAAGAGTTTCATTTCTTAAATTACGTTGTAGATTCAATTTTTAGATTATTAGTGATATATTATGATAATTCAATTGCTTTATCTTTAAGAACAATAAATTGAAAGTCAAAATAAATATATCGATATTAAATACCTAGCCATAAGCTAATAACATGTTAAAGAAAATAAAATGGTCATTGAACATATCAGATTGAGCATATGTTAACCGATACTTTGACTAAAGGTATGCTATCACATAAATTTAAGGATCATATTATCACATTAGAACTTGTTCTCACCTTGTAAATTTATGTTATACGAACGATTATAATAATACTCTTCTAACTTATTTTATTTGTTTGTGCATTCATTTGACTATTTTTTTAGAAATCTTAATAAAGTTTGGACATAGAATAAATATTAGATTCGTTCATTAAGGGCTTTGAGATAAAACATCGAAACACAATATATTATGATACATGGAAGATACTGTATAAATTCTAAGAGAATTTATTATCATCGTTCACGTGTTATATTTTGACTTTAAGTACTTATCGATAAATACAAACCAAGTAAAATTATCTAGAGAGAACACTTGGTGAAACTATTTTAATTTGGTTCATGCATGAAAATCACAAGTAAATTGTGATGAACGCGAGAATTTAGAGAAATAGAGAGAAGCGAAAATAGGAAATAGAAGCAGAGAAAAGATGAAGAAATTCAGATTTCATTCAAAATATGCATACTCCATTCCTTTACAAGTACCCGTTTTATTTGCATACATAGTACTAAGGAATCTAGCTAAGCCAGCTGACTGTCCTTCCTAACTGATTCAATAGGAATTGGGCTTCCTTTTGGGCTAGTTGCTCGCCCACTTGGATCTGCTGGACTACCCGATTAGATCTGTTGGACTGTTGGTTTAACTCCGCCCGTGCCTCCCACGTGCCCATTTGCCTTGTAAGTAATCCCCAATTCATTCTCAATCCCTATCCCTTGCCTCTTTCTTTCCCTCAATTCTTCTTCGATCTCCCGTCCTTCTCCTCCCACCGTGACATAAATTGATGGTGATCGTGAGTGTTTGTGGGACTTTTCCACATTGTTGAGGCCATTTATGGATATAGCTGATGGGAAACCAGCAGTATAAATAGGATTAGCCTATAGGTCTTTAAGAAGAGAAAGCACAAACAATTCTTCCTGTAGAACTATAACATCTAGTACTGGTTTTTTAGCATTTAGAAGGATTCGACGATTTTTAATATTTTACATTATAAAATTTAACATGCTCAACAATGGCTTGACATGTTATTTAGTGATATAATTATATCTTATTTTTTGGGATTTCCCTGCTCGAGTTGATGGTTGGCGGAGACAAACTGAAGGTTCACGTCTCAACTACGCGTTCTTCGCCGTAAATTGCGGGGATTTCTTTCTTTTATAGGGGGTGCCTTCTGTCTTTTCCAAGTATAAATACTTTTATAATCTTCACATGTAAAATCCACATTAAAATATTACGTTATTAATCCCCACATTCTTCTCTACATCTTTCCCAATAAGAAACGAAATTCTAAGAAATTATATCAACTTAAATTCAATGATTAAGAATTTTATTAAAATCATGTCTTAATTGGTGTACGCTTTAATTTACTAATATGATCCATTGAATAAATAATAAGATTTCGGTGTAAATATAAATGATATAGAAATTCAAATTCATATAAATAAATTTTTATACATAGGGGTTTACTTATATATATATTATAAAATTATATGTTTTATATTTTTAAACCATTAGATTAATAAAAAAAAATACGTGATTGAGATTAAAATAATTTATTTCATCTCTTTTTGAAAAAAAAATATAAAACACATATTTTACGGTTGGTTAGAATCTATTCCTTTTATTTTTATACACGGACTAATAATAATTGTTTTTTAATTTTTAGTTACTTGTATGACTTGGATTGAGCATAAAGAATAAATAAATACTGTTTGGTTTGAATATGTATTATTTGTTATTTAAACTTCAACTCACATATCTAACTTTTGATTCAAATTTATACTAATATTTCTTTATGTTATGATAAATTATTTTAAAATTCATGTATAAATTATTATTATTTTTATGTTATTATTTATATATCAAACATGATAACAATTCAAGTTTTTCAATTGAATGTAATGAATCCCTCCATTATATATATTTAAAGTAGACAAGGAAAAACATTAATTAGGTTAATGGAAGCAATATTTATCACGTGGGTTAATCCATAACGTTGTTAATTTTTTTATAGAATACAATAATAATTATGCTTGAAATTTCGAGCAGGATCTCTCGGAAGCATTGTCTGAACCCAAAAGAAATCAATTTAAATTTTGCATTTCAACCAAAAGAAAAAGCTTCCCCAATTAATTTTTTTATTTTCCTAATTTAATAAACTTTAAAGCCAAATTCATCAAAAGTTTAATGGAGAAGAATCATTGCGTAATGAGGATTTTATAAAAAAAAAATTGTATTTAACGCTAAAGTCTAAAAAAATTAAGCTAAGGTTAAAAAACGATGGACATTAAATACAACCGAAAATGTTATAATAAACATAATATTTTAGATTGAATCTAATTTAATATATTTTTTAATAATATTTTCGATCGTGCTCAATTTATGTCATTTTTTAACCTTCAATTTTAGGTTGTACCGCATAACTACTCGTGTTTAACTTTAAAAACTTTTGATGAAATGATAGTATTGACTTTATTTATGCATTATACCAATTATTATGTATCAATATAAGCCTTTATGTTTTGGGATAAACCCTAGCATTTCTTGATTTGATTCTCTAAGAGAAAGGGTTAATTTCGAGGAACATAGTTTAAAACAACATCAAGTGGTTTTATTGGAACTCATATAAACTCTCAATTCCAATGCTCAATACATAAAATATATTTAATAGTCACTTAAAGCAAAGTAATTAAGCAAAACAAACAAAGACAAAGAGACTGACTGCTTCGGTCAAATTTAGAGTTGGTTCGCAATTTTTACACTGATTTTATGGATCATATAGATTAAGAAATGAATTTATCTTGAATTATTATTTATCATAAAGGTTTGGTTAATTGTTACTTTTAAACAAGAGTGATTGATTTTATTATTTAATTATCATTTTTATAACGAAATTTAAATTTTAAAACTTAAAATCTTAAACGATAAAATTTAAACTCTAAACTCTAAATATTAAATATTAAATTATAAATCCTAAAATCTTAAATCTCAATGAAGATAAATAAAATTTAAATAGATAAGATTATAGAGTCTAAATTGTACACGGTCTATATATAAAAATCATTTAAAATATATTATACGATACAATATATTCCTAACCTTTAGATTATATATTCAGTAATCGTGTTTGTAAAACTTTGGATTAGTACAGTTTTGTGACGTACAATATCTTAAAAAATAGTGAAAATAGTTATTTAAAGATATATTAGGATTCAAATTCTTAATCTTTGCTTAAGAGATATAATGTCTCATCTTATTAAACAAACTAGTTATTGGTTGATATATTTTTTTAAAATTTCACAAATTCAATTGAACGAGATTATAAATGTACTGTAGTTTGATAACCCCTTCCTTGATCTATGAATTATAATAGGTAATTATATAAAATTAAAATAAATTAAACATTCATAAATATATAAACCAGCATTACCTAACTTCATTGAAAGAGTGCTCACCCATGTATTACAGCAAAGTAGGAGGAATATTTCATGAATTTTCCTTATCATGCTATTTTATTGTAATTAATAAAAATCATTTTTTACTCCATATTATTAACTAATTCATAACTAACTTTTAAGCAACTGCTTATTTGTCTATTTAAATAGAAAAAAAAATGAAGTTTCAACTTTAAAAAACAATGACATGAAAAATAAAATAGATGGTTATCGATCATAGATGAAACCATAGATGACGTGATGAATAAAATATATATAATAATTTTGAGAAAAATAGGCTTATCTTATTTTTCAAGCCAAACAAAGTTACTCAGTGTACACCTCAAACTCAATTCTAAACCTTAGTACTAATTAATACCCAAATTGCCATACAGACCAATTACCAACGTGAAAACAAAGAAACGAGGAAGGATTGTTGGATTTTGTATAATGTTTTCCTCTTCTTTGTAGTTTAAAAATCATCCCCGTGATTACTAAATTTCATTAGTTTGCCACTTACTTGTAGCTGTGGCACCGGCAAGTTTCGCTGGCGGCGTAGCTGGTGGTGGAGCCGACGGCAATGCAACAACATTCTGCTTACCTCTCTTTCTCTTTTTCTCATAGCTAACTCCTCTTGCTTTGGCCTGAAACTCCTTAACCTCCCTTAAGAAAACCCTAATAGCTCGAGCTCCGAAAGGGTTCCTTTCCGGCACACCTCCATGCTCCTCGTAAGCAGCCCGGAGTCGACCGATGAGTGCATCGAGGCTACCCCAGGCTTGTCGAAGGGGACAAGGGCAAGGACCAGGAGGGTTCGAGAGGCCAAAGAAGGGGCAAGTCTGGTTATGGACTTTGGTCTTGCCGAACTGATCGAGGTACCTAAGGAACTCAAGGACATGAGCTCCGCTACACGTTAAAAGTGACAATGGAGGCCTGTGATTTCTCAGGTATTGACAAAATGTGTTCCAATCTCTACGCTTTTGGTTCTCGTAGCGACTCGGAGTGGTCGGAGGAGGCGCAGTTGCAGTGCTGCTGATGTTGTTGGTAACTATGAGGCTCGGATAGATCATGTTTGGGTTGTTTTCCGGGGAAATCATTTCCATTTCCATACAGCTTGCTGTTGTTGATGATGATGGTGTCTTTGATGATCTTTTTTTAGGGTTTCACTTGAAATACTGAGAATGATTGATCGGTGTGAAAGATATAATCAAAGTGATGAAAAAGAGTGTTTTTTTTCACTTTAATGGTGACTATGATAGGTCAAGAGATGATGAAATGCAAGATTTTGCATGGCTTCCTCCCAATGAATAGAGATTAAACAAAAAATGGGTTTGTTTTACTTTCCTTTTCGGGAATGAAAATATTGGTAAAATCTGAAGTTGAATACTGCAATGAAATCTTTGAAAGACTGCAGTTCTTTAGGGTATGAAAATATTGTTAAAGGAATGGAAAAAGAAGAAGAAGGAGAATAATAAGAGAGGATGAGATCAGACTTGTGATATCATCAGATTTTCACTCTTTTCCCCCCAGAAAGCGAGCTACGAGAAGAAAAATGAATTTGAGCAATGTTGATAAAGTAAGAGGAAAGTGGAAACCGTAGGGTTTTTAAATAGTAATAACAATGGATGTAATCGATACAACTCCACTGCTGCTTCGAATTTAATTAAATAACAAGTATGGTTGATATTAAATACGTTTAAAGTTTATTAATTCGAATAAAAATTTACAAACACAAAATATAGATAATAGGACAAATTTGAACGTGAGTTAATGGTAACCCTACGTATATTTCAGAAGTGTGATGTAGTTTTAAGAGGAACCTTCACAGCAATTGCCCTTAAATCGCTTGCAGGATAAGCCCTTAAAAGAGGGGCAGTCCTTCTTCGTATTCAAATTTTACTTTCGTAAAACCAAAAAACAGAAGAGCCTTAGGTAACAAAGTACAAGGTCAAGTTATAGTCAATGGAGTCATTATCTTTAGATCTTGCATAAGTTCACAACTGTGTTTTTATTATTTATTGATATTTACCTAATCTCATTATATTATAAAAAATATATTGTTAGTGAAAAAAGTTGTTCACAAGTATAGTTAGAAATATATAGTCGATGTCCTTTGCATATATTCTAGTAAAGTTGGTACATGAACTTATTAATTCAATGATAAAAAAGAGTTTTATTCTTTCTAGATATTTCGAGTTTGAGCATGAAACAATTATATTTATAATGTATTTGTTTGTTATAAAAAAGGTCGTTTCATTCAGATTTTTTGTATCATCTGATGTAGCTTTTCCACTTGTATATGTTACCACAAAAATGCCAACACCTTCATTTAATGGCAAAATCTTTAGTTCACTATAATTTGTGTACATATACTTTTATGTTTGGGGACAAAGTTATAAAATTATTAATACAAAATACAAAAAATAAATTTTAAAATTTGTAGAGGCGTGTCCCCTCAATCTACGTTGATATTTCCAAGACATTGTTTGAATTTTCCATGAAAATCTTATAGCAGAAATCCCCGTGAACATCATGGAACCCATTGTTGTTCCCCATGGAAACATTGAAAGCGATCTGTCCCTCGTTGCGGTTGGTTAGTTGTTTTTGCAGCTAAATGTTGATTCCATGGTCGACGGCTTTAACCCACAAGTCCACAACTTTTATCTCTTCATTGATTCCCGTCCCTGAGGGTTTGAGTTTCTTCTTCAAATGGCTTGTTTGGGAAGTGCCCTCCAATTTCCATGGCCATATCCGTGAATGTAAGATATCAAAATCTGAGGAGTCCAAGCTCCCTTCTTCGTTCCCATCTTCTCACAACATCATTTTTGCCTTCATCTTTCTTCTTAGAAACTACATATATATACAGTTTTGATGGCTTCTTATATTTTGGTCTAAAGCATTGCATGGTTTTGTCAAAAAGAAACAACCCACTATTTGTAGGAAAATTTTCTTGCATACATAAATATTGTCACTATAGACATAGTCATGCATGCGCCACTGGCAATAATCAACAACTATTATCTTACGCCGTCTTTTCCCAATATCTTTTTTCTTTGGTATTTATATATCACAAAATGTCTGAAAATTTTATTCATTACAATTTAATTTTTTTATTTTTATATCAATAAATCTAATCAAACTCAACTCATGACCACAAATTTTAGTGTGCCTTAATCTTTCTTTTCTCCTATTATTTATGAGCAATGAAATCTTTCAAGGCACTTCCCTTGGAAGTAAACCAAAGCAGCGCACCTTTTTGTTGGTTGTGGAACATTTCAGACACTTTCACCAACATTGGATTTGAGCACAACCTTTTTGTCGGATAATTGTGTATTCAAATATCTTGTTTGCTTTTTAATGTCATTTTTATGAATGACCGAATTAATCGAGAAATGAAATTGACCAAATTGTATGTATAAAATTGAAAGAAAAAAAAATGTTTCAGAGAAATGAAGCATAAGAATTTGACCAAATTCATATAGTTGTCCCTGAAATCACCAAAGAATAAAAGGCCATTAACTGTACTTGCACACTTCAAGATCTCAGAGCAGAATCACTGAAACCTTAATCCCAACAAAGCCAATAATTATATAGCAGCAACTGTGGCCGCCATTAGTGTACAAGGAGGAAGAAAGGAAATTCCAACCTTTTTTCTACCTTAAACCCAAAATTATGTCAGAGAAACAATCTTTTCCATTAGTTTCTAATGATATTTCTCTTCAAATTCTTTACAATTTTAAGCATATTATATTGGAAATCGAAATGCTCGAGTTTTCTTTTCTTAACTGTGAATTGCAGTGCGTTCATCATCGTGTATCTCGGCTCCACCTTCTGTCCTGAAAATGCTGCTTTCAAACCTTTGTACCAAGGAATGACTGCAACGAAACAGAAAACAATTAGTGGAAGTTTTCAAAAGTTTAATGCACTGTCTCCTGCAGAAATAAAATGAAAGTTGACATGTCACAACTTATTTAGGATCTGTCTCGGTGCTTTTTAATTTTTCCAATTGAATAAAGAAAAACAAAAAACTAACGGACACCATAACTGTCGACAAACTATATTCGCCCGAACCAAAACACGCAAACAATCAACCATCACACCATTCATTTACTACCAAAGTTCAGGCCAAAAAACTAGCATATCAATATGTACCAACATCAGAATTTATTCACAAACATCCCGTATTGCTTCAACTTATGTTTGAAAACTTGAACTTGAATGTTTGGTTTTGGATTTCATTTGTCATATAAATAGTGAGAATGAAATGCATGAACCATGTATAATTAACTAAGATTCAATATGATTACATATTTGAAAAGTGCAAAAACGTACTTTAAAAACGAGTATAAAAACAAGAATTTCAAATTCAGCACTAAATGAACATCCAACAAATCTATGAACTTGAGAGATAATCACCAATGTTAAATTCAGATGTGTTTTGTTTCACAGCTTATATTATTTTAAAGAATCCAAATCCATCTTCTGAAATTCAAGTTCCTAAATGCAACCTTGATGAATGATGATATCAAAATTGAAAAAAAAAAAGAACCAGATAAAACAAAGGCAGAATGACAAAGTTAAATTCATTTTAATCAACTATAGATGTGTCTTGATCATGCATATGAGAAATCCAATGCAAGCTAAGAAACTATACTTTATAGTCCCTAACAAAAATGCTATATATATTTAATGATTTCTAGTAAGGTAAAAAAATACAGGAAGATACAATTTGAGAACCATGAGTGATGCCAAAACCATGCTGACAGTGCCTAAATTTCATCAGTTGATTACATAGTTTAAGACCTACTATAGCATTTACCTTGACTCCTTCTGGAGAGTTCCCGGGCTTTGCTGTGGTTGTGCTTCCTAAGTTAAACTTTGACTTCTTTTCAGCAGGCTTCAATATTTGAAAGGAGCACATCAAAGTCTCATCCACACTCATCATGGCTCCAGCATTATCAAACTCCCCACAATAATTAGGTGCTGAAAATATTGTTACAAGTTGTCGGTCGGCAAAGAACTCATAGCCATCCTCCACAACCTGCAAATAATATATTAGAAAATTAGTAAACACAAAAGTTGGCAACCACATCCTTGGTGGTTAAGAGTAACAATTCAGAATGTATCAACAGGAGCCAAAACAAACTTGAGAAGAAACATTGTCCGTAACGTGATAAAAAAGTATGACATTTCAAGATAGCAATTTCAGAAGTTCGTGAACTATTGTACACAAAAAAATAAAAGTAGTTGCACAACATGGAATAGCATAGGCATAATTCAAAAATATAACTGGCTACACCAAATAAGATGTGCATTTGGCTCCGTTTGATACATTCTTCAACACCAAATGTGAAACACAATGAGAGCTCCCGGAACAAGTAAAACCTGGTGAGCACGGCAAATGAGATCCAGATCATGTTTCCGAAGAAACTCAGACACTTTGTCAGGACCAAAAGTAAATGAAACTCCCCTGTCATTCATTCCCCAACCTTGAACATCTTTAGAAGGATCTGACCACAAAAGATCACAGAGCAAACCTGTGTCCGGCACATCAGCAGGGCGATGTAAATTTCTAATATGATCCAAATTATTCAGATCAGGAGAAAGGCCTCCATGCATGCACAAAATCTTCTCATCAATTAGTGCTGCCACCGGTAGGCAGTTAAAACATTCTGTGAATGTCTTCCAAAGCCTAACATTAAATCTTCTCTTACACTCATCATAGAACCCGTATATGCGGTTGATTGAAGCACATTCATGGTTACCCCTCAAGAGGAAAAAATTTTCAGGGTATTTTATCTTGTAAGATAGAAGAAGACATATTGTCTCCAGACTTTGCTTGCCTCGATCAACATAATCCCCCAAAAACAAGTAGTTAGCATTCGGAGGCAACCCACCATACTCAAAAAGCCTTAAAAGATCAGAATATTGACCATGAATGTCACCTGGATAACATAAACAAATTTTAAAGAGTAAAGAAGTCTTCACTACATGTAAGGAAAAGAATTATTTTGAAAGATACATAAAAGGGCCTCAGATTACAACAATATGATGAAAATGCTTTCCCCAAAATGCCATTGTGTATTAATAACACTAGCCATATGCAAGTCAATTTCAAGTGATTTAGTCAAATACATTTATTACAATGAACATGCAGTCCTACTATGGATTGTGTTGTAGTAATATCATGGCTAAAAATTTCAAAAACTTCAAATAATGTACATGAATGTGTTTGTATCAAAAGTAATGCAACCACTCTGCATGTTTGAAACATCAGCAGATGATGTGGTAAAAAGTTTCCCTAATGTGTGAACTGCGATAGAGTAACATATGTAATGAATATCCATTGTTATTCTCTGACCAGATAATCCTGTAAAAAGTTCATGCTACACCAAGAGAAAATAATAACATATTGAGAATCAAATCAGTGACCTTTTTAGTATAGACGTTCAAGGAATCAAACATCAAAATATTAGTGAGGGTGTTATGCATCAAATTTGTAACACAAAGAAGTAGCAAAGGATTAGCTATTGCAACAAAAGAGGATCAGAATGTGAAGTCCTAGCCAAGTTGGTCAAGCAAAACCACATCACAAAGCATGACAAAACATTAGGTTATAAAGGAAACAAAAGATGCAAGTTCTCCAAGAAATACAAAATGGGACAAACAGTTCAAATTCAATAGAATATCTCAAAAAACTCATACACCCAATAATGCTAAAAAAATCTCAATTCCCTCAATCAAAACAAAGGGTGGAATAAGGCGAACTGATAGATCATTGAAGGGAGAGGACTAACCAGCATGCCACGTGAAACATATGCAATGTAACAAGAAACTAAAAGAAAAAAAAGACAAACAATATGGTTGCCAGGAACTAATATAGAACTTAGAAGAGATTGTTAACACAGCTAGAACAGCATTCAATTATATGGAATTAGCAACAAAACAAAGAGAACTTCTGGGGGAAAAAAGATGCATGTCTGAAGTGTCACTGCCTGCCACATGACCACATACAACCATTTCAAAACCACAAATTCCACAGATAACTGCTCAGAAATCCAAGGCACAAACAAATCTTTTTAGAATCAACAATTTTGATTTAAACTAATATTGAGAATTCGTTCAGTTGATGCAACAACATGAAATATAGAAGATAATCAAACACCATACCATTTCCCACTAACTTGTTAAAAGATTAACGAAATCTTCTCAAAATCAAGAAACAAAATCCACAGCAAAACTAGGTCATTAATCTGAAAGAGAAGTCAATCTCATTAAAAGATTAACTTACTATATTCCAATTTAAAGCAAATAAAAATGTAAAACAAAAACAAAATACCCAAGCTACAAAACCAAAAATAGATACATCAACGAGCATCAGGTAACTGCAAATCCAGGAAGGTATAAGAAAATCATAATGAGTTTTAATCAAGCTACAAATGAAAACAACGCCTCTCATAAGCTAGACCTTAAAATCAAAACAAATTAAACATCAAATCATCAAAACAAGTAAAAATAAGCATATGGGTCATCGAAAAAACCGAAAAGAAAAAACTGGGCATCTAAAAAAAAGACGTGAATAATACCACAAATCTTGATGGGTGCTTCGAGTTCCAATAAATTTGGCTGTTGTAAGAAAATCTCTTTAGAAGCCACACAAATTTGTCGGATCTCCGATTCCGATAGCTGCACTTGTTTCCCCGGTCGACCCCGAACTTCCAAAAGCCGATGTATGATATCATCAAGCAACCCTTGTTCCATTTTTCCCAGCCTCTATTTTCGTTCAAACAAATCGGGTTCTTAGTTAAGCAAAACAAAAACAAAACAAAAGAATGAGTAAAAGTCAACGGGTATTTTTCTCCTTGTCAGTGGGGTGTTAAGGAAGAAAAGAGAAGATGAAGAAGGGCATGTCGTCAATGAAAGGAAAAGAGCGAACTGGCGATGTCGTTTAGCGAAGCAGCAGGGATGTCGTGTTGAAGATAAATCGAGTCATTTCTTTTTTAATTACACCAATTTTAGGAGATTTAATAAGAACTCTGATAAACAATAAATTTTCCCTTTTTCTTTAACACAATAATTTTGGGTAAACTACACGTTTAGTATCCAACTGTCACTTTTATTTAGTTTTGGTCTCTAAACAATTTTTTAAATAGTGCATAACGTTACGTTTGATTTCATTTTGGTCATTTATCATTAAAAAATTCACATAACTTCCATTTTGGAATTATATTATGATAACACGTCAGTATCACTATTAATTTTTTAACGGTAAGTGACCAAAATTAAACTAAAATTAAACGTTAGGCATAATTTTTAAAAAAATAATTAAATGAATAAAAACAAAACAAAAGTGATAGCCGGTATACTAAACATGTAGTTTATTTTAATTGTTTGTAATCTACATTATTAGATTAGATTAGATCGTTAGAAAAATAACCAAACTATTTTGTATATATACCGAGTCAAGAAAAGTAATTAATCTTCCTTTTCCTCTTCCTAGGTAGAAATTACTTTTTAAAAATGATGCATATTATATATATATATATATATATATATATATATATATGATTTAAATGAATAATCCAAACATATGCTCCACTTATATATATTAAAAAAATTTAATTCATGTATTTTAAATATACTCTACGTAATTTTGAATAGACATTTAATTAAGTTTTAAATTTAATTAAAATAATTTAAAGATTGAGGATTAATTTAAATTTTAAATATAATTGAAGGATGTCTAGGTAATTGATTCGTATATATGTGGCTGAGGAGAACAAATTAAAATAGAAGACAAAATAAATTAATACAACAAAGATCATCTTTTGTTACTAAAATAATGAGTATATCAAATTTTCAATAAAATGTTACTAAAATATTTATTTAAAAATAACATTATGCAATCAAACACAAAAGAGATCATCTTTTGTAAAAGAAGAAGCCTCCTGTTAGCGTTAAAACCAGGGGCCTTGGGCTTTCCGTTAAATGGAGAAAAGAAAACCAGTGGCCTTCGCAAATGGATGTCAACTCCTTGTTGCTTGTTTTCCTGTTGATAACGCTTTCGCACCTTAATCTCGCCGCCTGAATCTGTCCCCGTCGGATTCAATTCATTCTCACGGTGTCTCGAATGAGTTGAAAGTTTTGTCTAGGAGGACTCGGCCAATAACTCCACCTCCTCTATCTCCTCGACTTCCGCCACCGCCGCCCTCCTCCTCCATGCCTGTGGCAACCTCCTACGCCTGTTTGATGCTTCTTTCCTATCTTACAATTCAACAGTTGAGAAACTTTCGTATCATGAGCTTCTTTTTTTTCATATGAGCTTTTGTTTGCAATTCTGTAATACTTTAAATACAATGATGATGATGAAGATGTTTTAAATAAGAAAATTTGCTGTACTGAATGTATTGAATGATATTATATCGAACAATTATTTTTAAAAAAAAAATTATATCGAGCAATTAAAACACACGTTAATAGATTTTTTAAAATATATATATTTATTTGTTATATTTTCGGAAATGATCCTCAGTAATTATAAGCTCTTTATCAGTAGAAAGTTATAGACAAATTTCTTTATCCATCAAAATTGTTAAAAGAATCTTAATTTTCGAGAACGAGAGCACCATTAAGCTTTTGATAAGCAACAACATGTAGACACGACTAAGGCGGTAAATGAGACGAGACAGATCGCGAGATACTCGAGATCGATTCGATCAAGATTCGATAAATACTCGGATCGAATGGATTCGACTCTAACTCGAGCTCGACTCGAGTTCTTAACGAGCCAAAATGAGCTATTTGATATTCGACTCGAAAAGCTCGTGAGCAGCTCAAAAATATAATATATTAAGATTTTATTTTTTTTAAAAAAAATTATTAATAATATTAATATTTATGTATTCATTTTTAAAAAAAATACAGTAAGATATTTATGTATTTAAGGTTTAGGTTCGAGTTTGAGTTTGAGGCTTCAATCGAGTTAAGTTTAAGATTTTTTTCATTTCGAGCCTTTTCGAGCTGCTCACGAGCTTCAATTCATGATTTCGAGTTCGAGTCGAGACGAGCTTCATTTCAAAGTTTTCGAATTAAATCGAGCTCAGCAATACTCGAGTTCGACTCGGCTCGTTTACACTCTAGACACAACTCCTAGATAAGACCTTTGACTGTGATCTATCACAACAAAATTTAAGATTTAACTACTAGATCCTTACAAATAATCATAATAATCATATAAATGACATTGTCAATTAAGAATCAATATAAATATTTTTTAATCATAACCGAACACGAGATAGAGACTTTCTCCTTTATCACACTTTTTTTTTTTTTGTCTTCAATCTTCTCATAAAAAAATATCAAATTAAAAGGATAAACCGTTGATCCCAAACAAAAACATTTTACTTTCATCAACAAAACTAATAAAAATGGTCTTCAAGACGTTATAAAACTCTGCATCATAAGGATGGGACACTATGAATAATTTAAGATTTATTGATCCAAATCTCGAGTATAAGCAATATAAATAATTTGGTACGCATCATTAACGGCTTGACATTTGACTGTAAGCACGAAATTATTAACAATTTTCGGATGAATACATCAATATTCTAAAGGTTGTAATATATAAATTATAAATATTGCTAATGTTTGTATAAATATATCTCTAAAAATTTATTAACTATAAAATATTTTAATATATAAAAGTTTGGTTGACAGTTATAAAATTAGGAGGTTTTAAGTTTGAGGCATATATCATATTAGGAGTGACTTTAAACTCTTTTGGAGGGCCACAAATAAATTATAAATTTTTTTAGGTCTAAAATATAATTTTATCTTTATAATTATTCAAATTATATTTATTAAAATTGTATTAGTAACATGTACAAAATAATAAAATATTATTAAGTTGAGTAACCCTAATTAAATAGGGTAGTTGAATTAATTAATTTCCAACTACCCTCTCAAAGTCCACCAAAATTGAAAGTAAAACAACCCACGTCTCAGGTGGTTTGGGCGGTTCTCATAAGAAAAATTCAACTCCAGACGTTTGACCTGGCCAGGATTAATCCTTATAAAAGAGCAGGCCTTGTTAGTGTTAAAAACAGCAGGGGCCTTGGGAAATGGATGTTCAGTCCAGCGGTCTGCTTGTTTTCCTGTTGATAACCGCCGTTATGTTTTCGGAGCTTAATCTCACGGTTCAGGCGGCGTTGGATTCAATTCGTTTTCAAGCTTTGTCGAATGAGCTGAAAGTTCTGTCTAGGAGGAGCCGGCGAATATCTCCACCATCACCCAGGATTAATCCTCCTCTTCACTACAGAAGCCCTCCTCCGTCTCCTCGGCCTCCGCCGCCACCTCCATGTCTGTGGCAACCGCCTATGGGATTTTGATAATTACGTGCTTGTTTCCAACGTTAAATATGTATCAGCACTTGTTTTTAAGTTTGTAAAACTCTGAAATATAGTAATAATAATGACGACGATGTGTTAAATATAAAATTAATATTACACCATAGTGAACAAATCTTGTTCAGTGTTACTGTTCACCGACTTGAGAAAATGTCTAGAAAATAAGAGCATTGTTCAATAAAGGAATGGGAACACGGTGACCGATGAACCACGCTGTAACATCCCAAACCGATACGGGTAGCTCGATCCGATTTGAGAAGTCACATTAGGGCCACCGGAGCGACCCACCGTAAAAATAGCGGAAATTTTAAAACTTTTTATCAGAACATGTAAACTTATAAAATCATTTATCACTATTTAAAAATAAAACAGATTTCCAAACTCGTATATAAATCAAAATACAATTACATGCCCCCTAATCACAAGTACCATACTCTGCAACCACGCCAGAAGAACTCCCTTACTGAAGTCGATAGATGCACTGGTACAATTGTTTTAACCTGAAAAGGTGAGTAATAGAGTGAGCTTTGGAAAGCTCAGTAATACAGAACTACCAGATGATGCTACATGACATGTAGATAAATGGAAAGCCATATAATTTCCTTATTGAATCATATGTATACCAGCTTGCAGAATAATTTGGGGTTCCCTTAGAAGTTCATCGAGTAGAAGCCATGAATCTCAGTTCATAAGAAACCTTTCAAAGTATGACATTTTCAGGAGATCGAATAGGATGTCTAGTGTGTTCCAACAGTATAATAAAATCATAATAGATACAAATCATAGTCCAGTAAATCTCACAATTTCGTAAAAGAGTTTAACTTTTGAAAATCATAGTTTAAACCCTTTGCTGGTACACCATCAGTAGTTCCTAAAAATTATTTTCCATATAGCTTACTTTATGCACATAACAAAAAGAAAGCCGACTTAAGGATAGGCTATGAAACTTGTATCCTTAAGCCCAAGTCAATAAGTCCATATAGCTTACCCTAAGCACACAGTAAAGAAAAGCCGACCTAATGAAACATCTTGGGGCCCTCAAGAGTCACATTAGGCCCATTTAGCTTGATCAGAGCTATTCCATCGTAATTCAATTCCAAAATTCAATTGCACCGTGACATAAATTCCATAAATCCAAAAACATGGTAATCATATACCATTTCAAACAAAAATTAGATAGCAGCCATATTCCATAAATTGTCACATTAAATTGGTGCATCCATAAAACAATAACCAATGAATTCGGTGTACCACATATTAAAACCAATGAAACAGTTCAGTAATAAGTAGGGAACACACTAGAGAATCCAAGTATTTCCAGAGGCCATTGTAGTTATCATTTTGGATAACATGAAACTTATGAAATTTGAACGAATTCCTGGAACAAGGTCCTATTGAGGAGAATCGATTACTAACCGATCTAGCCAGACATTTAATGTTGATACATTAGAATCCCACTATTTTCGTTGTGCTTTAGGAAAACGTTCAGGAACCTTTATACATAATAATTCTAAATTCAGATTTACTGCGAGTGATTCCATTACCCAAACAATCAGGGGTATTCAGGAATATACT